TCTTTTAATGGGAACAAATGCTAATGAGAGGATCTTCATGTTTGCTGTGTTACTCCACCGTCCTGGTGCATGAGTCAACATCTCAACATGAGTTTCTGTATATAATCGTAAATTGCTTTACTCGCACGTTCATATTAAGTAAAATGGTCATCACCATTTGATGGAGCATCACGAGGCATCAAGTCTAATTGTGTTAAAGATGCATAATTTGCAGAAAAATCACAAACTTTGAATTCGCTAAGGTAAAGGCTGTGTTATTCTTTGTACTTCCACGTGTTTTAGTTGTAGCAGTAGTAGAAGTACAAGTAGTAGTAGTTGCATTAGTAGCTCTTTTAGTAGGAATGTTGCTATAGTAGCTTTTGCAATAGTTGGTGTTGCAATAGTTACAGCTAAAATAGTTGTGGAAGTAGTAGTCGTTGCAGCAGTTACTGCGGTATTTACAGTAGCTGCTCTGCCCCCGCTCCCAGACAAAAGTTTAACGCGCTTCTCGTAGACTGTAGAGTCCACACCTTTTCTGACGCGACATAGCTACATCGCAGCTATATAACATCCCTGACATCCCCGACATTGTACAATGACAAGGGTTATGGCAGCATTGACGCGTGAAGTTGTGCTCAAGGTCGTGCACAAGGTCGTTTTCAAGCTTCTTTAGGACTACGCAACCTTTAGCCCTAGCTGGAACAGCCCAGTGAGTTTGCACCAGGACGGTGCCACGTGGGGAATTTCTGCTCAACGATCGGCTTCTGGGCCCGTTTGCTCGAAGCGCTAACCGCGGCTAAAGTTAGCCGCAGTACCTAGGAGAGGGATTTTGAAATCACGTGACTGGCTCGATAGGAATGCGGGGAAACATGGCGGTGCCCCGGCGAGTGAGCGCCGCTCGCTTTGGAACTAATATGTCGTGTGGGAGCCTTTGGCTCCCTTTCCCTGATCCGCGGGCGCGACGTCGGAAGCCACTTGGCTTCCGACCGGAGCGTACCTTATCGTGGCAAGGAGAGGCAGCCATCTTGGTTGTCTACTCTCGCCACTCCTCCGTCCGCGTCCCTCCCTCTGGGGGACGTAGGGAACTTCCCTTTGGCGGGCTCGCCCGCCCCTCTAGGGACGAGGCTGGAGCCGCCAGGGAGAGAAGGAGAGAGAGAGCGGGTCCTCTGGCCGCTCGGAGAAGGGACTGTTCTGCTGGACTTGAAACTGTTCGGACGTGCGGCCACGCACTCTGCTGCCCCACCTCCGTCCAGGCTCTCGGGAAAGTGCGGCAAGGTAAGGACAACCTCCCCCTTGCCGTTACTAGTCTTTATATCTTTGTATTTATCCGGACAAATAAACCCCGGGTGTCCCTCTATTCTGTGTGTCTGTGTACTCCCTTCGTGAGTCCCGGCTAGCGGGTGCAGCCAGCAGTCGAACCCGTCGTAGTGGTGACTCTGATCCGCTGCGGGGTGGTGGTTTCGCGGTCGGCCTCCTATCCGGACGCCTGGCACCCCTTTGAGACCTCCACATTCTGGCGCCCAACGTGGGGCCATGGCACTATTGTCGTGGCACTGCTCCACCGCGCCATGCCAAGATGGCGGAGCCTCTCTTGGGGAGGCCGGCTCCCTTTGTGAGCCGCCATGATGCGAATCCCATCGGTGCTTGGATTTGGGTACCACGTCCAAGAGCCAGCCCGGAAACCTGAGTGAGTCATGATTTCTTCATTCTCTTTTCGTGTCTTCCCGCAGGAGACGCTTTATCGTACCTGTCTCCTCTGGTGATGGGCGTCGCTAGCAACTGTCCCCCACTGCCTGAAAGTTGCTGACTCCGCTGCCAACCCCCACCTAGTTAGAGGGTCGTCGCCTCTGGCGGCGTCCTCAGAGCCTCCGTGTCACGGAAATCGCGTTGCATTGACATCAGTGGGCCTAGCGACGAATGTTGTTAGCAGCAAAGAGCTTCTTACGGGTCAGCGGGACTATCTGGGTTTGTAAATATGCGCGTTTCTTTGACACTGAGTTGTCGGACTCTCCGGGAGAGTCGGGTGGTGCGTCTGCCATTAACGTCGCCAAGTAGCTCGTAACGCTACCGACGGGCTCCGGGAGCCGTAGGCCGCGCATCCGCCGGCGTCCAGAAGCAGTTTTTATACTGTGGGCGCGCGCGCTGTACGCCACTTGTATTGTGGTTGACGCGAGGGTTTTTTTCGGGATAAATTTGTTTTGCTGACACCTTTGAGCTTCTGCTGATTTCCGATGCCTTTTGCGTTATAATGGCACAACGCACTATAGACGGGGCGGCTTTTTAGCTACCTCGTTTTGTGCGCTTCGCTAGGGATGCGTGCAGCTCGAAGACTCTACGGAGTTAGTTGTTTTCGCAGTCCCCCGCCCGGCTCCTGGTGCAGCCACCACTGGCAGCGGAGAGTCGCCGGCTCAGTTCCCGGCGACTTCAGTTTGCGTACGCAGGGTGCCCTCAAATTCTGTTAGTAGCACCGCGTGGCCTGCCTTCCAACTTGAGCCTCCCACCCTGCGGTAGGCCGGTTAATGTGCGCAGGCAGCCGAGTCCAGATACGATGAGGACCCGGCCAAAACCTGTTTCCGGAGACCATTGCTTCCCTTCGGTGGCAGTGTGTCGACCGAGAACAATGATCTCTCCTTTCGACCTTGCCATACTGCGGGTCTGGAGAGGGCGAAGAGATATTTTCGGGGTGCTGCGTGGGCTCTTCTTTCTGTCCTTCAGGAACATGCTCGTGCCCCTCCTCTTCCCTGCCATCCCCCACTATGCGCGACGGCGGGGGGACACGCCGAGAGACTGGGCGGGACCTGCCGGATCTGCGTCATCGCTGACGCTGCCGGGAGTTTGCGCACCCTACGGCGGCCAGGAGCGGCGGACGGGGAGGGCTGACTTCCGGCCGAGGCAGGACGGCCGCTGTGGTCCTGTCCTGTCGGACTCGTCGGACCTCACCGAGGCGCCTAGCTGGACCAGGCATCCTGATGCGGGCCTGTCACGGACGTCACCTGATTCCGTCCCCAAGGTGCGCCTGCGACTTCGGTGGCCAGCGTTCCCCTTGCCGCTGGTCTCCCGCACCCAAATTGAGAGTGACCATGGGGGGACTTTTACGCGCGTCACCGTGTTCGTTTCGACGGAGGTCGGCCCACGACGAGTCGACGACGTGCTGCGTAGGACGAGCAGCGCCGCTGAGCATCAACGTTCCCAGTGAGCGGTGCTCCGTGTTGTGGAAGAACTGATCTTTCGGCATCGAGGAACTATGTACGGCTTCATTCGACGACATCCGGAGTGCATCGCCCCACCAGTGCGTCGTGAACTCCGGTATGTTGAACATTTACGGCAGCAGTTCCGGAGGCTACCAAGGCCCCCGATTCTAGTTTTAATTTTTATTTGTAAGCGCGACTGGCACCCGTGCTGTCAGCGTGCAGGTTTTGTATTTTGGGGGTTTGAGAGCCGGCGCCCCTTTCTCTGAAAGGGGTGCCAAATGTTTTAAGGAGAGGGGGTATTGTGGGAGCCACTGGTTTCCCTCCCCCGAGAAGGCGTAAGCCGAGGCCATTCCAGGCGAAGCCGTCTGACTTCGAGCCCGGTCGCTCCGTATTGTGTCGGAGAGACTACGTCACCATGCTGACCTACTCTCTCGCACTCCTCCGCGCGTGTCGCCGATTGCGGGGGAACAGCGACATCGCGCAGGAGAGAGTCGGGCCTGCCCTGCGAGTGGACGGCCGTGTGGTCGAGGAGTCCTGGATTGGACTCCGGGCAACGGGTCGAGTCGCGGCGCGAGCATCGTCCGACCGGCGATGACTCCACGCTAGTGATTCCCCGGGCTCTGACAGTCGGCGTCCCCACAACCTGTGGACGTCCGTCTGCAGAGAGCCCTGGCCCCGAACTCCTGCGACGACGGGTAGCGGCGTGAGCTCGCCCGACCGGCGATGACTCCACTCGCAATTACCCCTTTGGCTCTCAGGTCGGCGGGCGATGCGGGCACACTGTGCCCGCGGCGGCTCGCTTGACCGCAGTGTCTTGTTGGGGACCCCTGGTACTCAATGAACGCTGCTGGACACCGGGATCATCGTTGTTGGCATGGCGTTGGCCGAACCCGGCGCGGCGACCGCCCTCGCTGGTAGCCGTCGGCCGCGCGGTGGGACGGGCATCGGATTTCCCCTTTGAGCACCGGACCGATCTCCGGACGTGGGAGGTACTGCACTGTAAAAAATTTTCACCCCATTTTACGGATAAAAGTTGCTGGTTCAATATTGCCGGTATGGTTTGCCGTAATCTGAAAACCGGACCGTTTGTAAAAACAAGGCATATAATTTCGTAAAATGACGGAACGTTCGTAGTTCACTTTACGGAGTTGTCCGTTTCCCATTTTACGGGTGAAAGTTGCTGGTTCAATATTGCCGGCATGATTTGCCGTAATCTAGGAACTGGACCGTCTGTAAGTAAAATGACGGAACGTCTGTAATCCACATTACGGAGAGCTATCCGTAGGAAATATGAAAGCTGTCTGCACTAAATAACGAAGCATTATACCTTTCTGCCTTATGTAAGGCCAAAGCTACAAGCCATCCATACCACCTGCACCTCTGATACATCAAACGACCCACCCAATAGAGCTCTAGCTTTGCCAGGGGTGTCACCCGACGTATCGGAGGTGCAGGATTGGTGCGGATGGCCAATAGCTGTGGCTTTACATAAGGCGGAAAGGTATAGCGCTTCGTTATTTAGTGCAGACAGCCTCCATGTTCAAGCAAGCTCAAGTCACATGAAGCTTTTGGGTACAGATTGGTATGGAGTTCATAGCTCCGTCATTCAATATTTCATCCTTAGACAAAACGTACAAGAGTTCATGTTTTGCAAAAGAAATAGAGCACACAACCTGTACTACACGTTGCCAGGATTTTGTTTGTGTGAGATCACTGTTCATATATATGACAGCTGAACAAACAAACCAATTAAGAAGTCTTGAAACAATACCTTTATTGGATGGTATGACTGGCTTTAAAATTGAAGAAATATGAAAATATGTTTGCCCTTGTACTGACTAGAGGCTCCTCCATGCTTGTGTTTTTGTTGTCCTTCAATTATAGACCTCCTGGATACCTTTATAGTGCATGCAAGGGCACCCTGAAATAAAGAGAAGAAGATGTTTAGAAATCAATAAACAATCAAAACTACAATCGAACATGACATATATACAAGCCTCCCATAAATTGAATGCAACTAAAAGGTTCAAATGATTTGAAGAACTAATACTACCAGTGCCGTGGAAAAAAATAAACTACCAAATTAAGATTGCATAATCACTTGGTGATATTAAGAACAATCAATTCAGCCAGATCTCTAGTGCACCTCCTAACCTAACCTAATTTAAATTAACCCCTTAGCTTTTTCTTTTTTTTGGCAATTTACGATTTAAATTGCTTTATAAAATTTTTATTGCACATGCGGCCCGTGCAGCACCTGTCTCCACCGTTGGTCACCATTTTTAAAAGCATATGCAGTAAAACAAAACATGTGCTGCCATCTCGCCAGCCAAAAACTATGCTCTGAACGAACCTGTGTTGTCAAAAACAGCCAAAAAGGCGAGTGAGGGTGCGCAGTCAAGCTACACTCATTTCAAATGATTTGGGGACAGCTTTAGGTGGATGAGCTAGGTTCGTCCAGGGGTTAAGAGGTTAAAGGTATAGCTTTTTGGGCATACTGGAATCTGAACCAAAATAGTACAGCAAATTATTCACTGTTGTTTCCTTCACTGGCACATGCTTGTACCACTAAGTCAAACTAGCCTGAAATGGAAACTGAAGCACTTTAAGAAGTACAAGTTAGGAGCAGACATCTATAGCATTTTTCTCCCATTCATTCAGTAATCTCACTAAACTTGGGCAGAAGTGAACGTAAACTTCATTTATTTCGAAAAACACGTGCAGCGACTGGCGCAGGGTATGTGGTGAGCCTCTCCACCACCTGTATCTCTCCAAAGCGTGACATCATTGCTGACACCCCTGGCCAACTTACTCGCGAGAAAGGGTCAGCTGACCCCACCTCCACTCTCGCGCTCTGCTGCACTCAGCGTGCTTCAACAGGTGGGGCAACTTAAAAATTTTAATTGGTGATTACAACGCCCTGCTAACGAGATTTAAAGAAAACTGCCACGATAATTTTTAACAAGCTCACAACAAAAAATTTTTTTTTCAAGTTTAAAGGTTTTTTTTTAGCTTTCCTTTAAACATGGTGCCTACAGAGTACTACATTAACCTGAAATACTAGTTCCCCTCGAATGCTTGTTACACCTGACATCTCCCCTAAGTTGAAACTTCCAACATGCATGGTATTAGTATGCATGATATCAAGAAGTTCCACTGCATATAAAGCAAAAATATGAAGAAAAAAAAATTAGCATTCCCCTCCAATGTGCAAATTTTACAGTTCAAGGCTCCAAAAGGCAATTTCCCACACTAGAGCTTAATTAAATCACTAGGGGAAAGCTGTCATTGAAATAAAAATATTAAAGAAAAGAACAGGGGCTCACCTGAGATGCATATGTGGAAGCTGAATACCTTATTGCCCACAAAACTTTGGTACTTTAGTATTAAAAAAAAAAGGCTGCTGTATGCACACTTTCTTTGTGGCTGGAATAGACAAACAATACCACTTGTTAGAACTGAATTCTTTTCCCTCTGAAAATTTATGCTCAATCAAGCAGTGAAATTGGCACAGAGCTTCTCTACAACATGGCTGTGAATGGTAACAGCCCAATAGTCTGAAAAGCAACGTTTCAGGGCGACATGGCAAAACTACAAAGGGCATTGCAGCTAGAGCTCGGAGCTTTAGCTGAAAAGGCTAAGGATGACAGCAATGACAAGGCACCTGAGCTCCTGCTGTCGGAGGCGTTTTGCCCAGATGCCCGTGACTTCGCTGAATATTTGTCTCCTTGGGAATAGCACGACTTTGGGTGCCACAATTTATACGAGTTAAGCCACACTGAGGCAGACTTTGTGTAATCATGCCTGGCTTCCAAGTAGACATTTTAAGTGGATGCAAGGTGTTCAGGCTTCATTTTCATCACTTCTTCGCTCATCAAATATAAATTACCTGATAGGGATATTTTGCGGTCCAACACAGTTTGAATTAAAGAAGTTCCACTACATATAACGCAAAAAGATGGAAAAGAAAAAATTTGCATTCCACTCCAATGTGCAAATTTTACAGTTCAAGGCTCCAAAGGGCAATTTCCCACACTAGAGCTTAATTAAATCACTAGGGGAAAGCTGTCATTGAAATAAAAATAATAAAGAAAAGAACAGGGGCTCACCTGAGATGCATATGTGGAAGCTGAATACCTTATTGCCCACAAAACTTTGGTACTTTAGTATTAAAAAAAAAGGCTGCTGTATGCACACTTTCTTTGTGGCTGGAATAGACAAACAATACCACTAGTTAGAACTGAATTCTTTTCCCTCTGAAACTTTATGCTCAATCAAGCAGTGAAATTGGCACAGAGCTTCTCTACAACATGGCTGTGAATGGTAACAGCCCAATAGTCTGAAAAGCAACGTTTCAGGGCGACATGGCAAAACTACAAAGGGCACTGCAGCTAGAGCTCAAAGCTTTAGCTGAGAAGGCTAAGGATGACAGCAATGACAAGGCACCTGAGCTCCTGCTGTCGGAGGCGTTTTGCCCAGATGCCCGTGACTTCGCTGAATATTTGTCTCCTTGGGAATAGCACGACTTTGGGTGCCATAATTTATACGAGTTAAGCCACGCTGGAGGCAGACTGTGTAATCATGCCTGGCTTCCAAGTAGACATTTTAAGTGGATGCAAGGTGTTCGGGCTTCATTTTCATCACTTCTTCGCTCATTAAATATAAATTACCTGATAGGGATATTTTGCGGTCCAACACAGTTTGAATTAAAGAAGTTCCACTACATATAACGCAAAAAGATGAAAAAAAAATTGCATTCCCCTTTAATGTGCAAATTTTACAGTTCAAGGCTCCAAAGGGCAATTTCCCACACTAGAGCTCAATTACATCACCAGGGGAAAGCTGTCATTGAAATAAAAATATTAAAGAAAAGAACAGGGGCTCACCTGAGATGCATATGTGGAAGCTGAATACCTTATTGCCCACAAAACTTTGGTACTTTAGTATTAAAAAAAAAAGGCTGCCGTATGCACACTTTCTTTGTGGCTGGAATAGACAAACAATACCACTTGTTAGAACTGAATTCTTTTCCCTCTGAAACTTTATGCTCAATCAAGCAGTGAAATTGGCACAGAGCTTCTCTACAACATGGCTGTGAATGGTAACAGCCCAATAGTCTGAAAAGCAACGTTTCAGGGCGACATGGCAAAACTACAAAGGGCATTGCAGCTAGAGCTCGGAGCTTTAGCTGAGAAGGCTAAGGATGACAGCAATGACAAGGCACCTGAGCTCCTGCTGTCGGAGGCGTTTTGCCCAGATGCCCGTGACTTCGCTGAATATTTGTCTCCTTGGGAATAGCATGACTTTGGGTGCCATAATTTATACGAGTTAAGCCACACTGAGGCAGACTTTGTGTAATCATGCCTGGCTTCCAAGTAGACATTTTAAGTGGATGCAAGGTGTTCAGGCTTCATTTTCATCACTTCTTCGCTCATCAAATATAATATACCTGGTAGGGATATTTTGCGGTCCAACACAGTTTGAATTAAAGAAGTTCCACTACATATAACGCAAAAAGATGGAAAAAAAAATTTGCATTCCCCTCCAATGTGCAAATTTTACAGTTAAAGGCTCCAAAGGGCAATTTCCCACACTAGAGCTTAATTAAATCACTAGGGGAAAGCTGTCATTGAAATAAAAATAATAAAGAAAAGAACAGGGGCTCACCTGAGATGCATATGTGGAAGCTGAATACCTTATTGCCCACAAAACTTTGGTACTTTAGTATTAAAAAAAAAGGCTGCTGTATGCACACTTTCTTTGTGGCTGGAATAGACAAACAATACCACTTGTTAGAACTGAATTCTTTTCCCTCTGAAACTTTATGCTCAATCAAGCAGTGAAATTGGCACAGAGCTTCTCTACAACATGGCTGTGAATGGTAACAGCCCAATAGTCTGACAAGCAACGTTTCAGGGCGACATGGCAAAACTACAAAGGGCATTGCAGCTAGAGCTCGGAGCTTTAGCTGAGAAGGCTAAGGATGACAGCAATGACAAGGCACCTGAGCTCCTGCTGTCGGAGGCGTTTTGCCCAGATGCCCGTGACTTCGCTGAATATTTGTCTCCTTGGGAATAGCATGACTTTGGGTGCCATAATTTATACGAGTTAAGCCACACTGAGGCAGACTTTGTGTAATCATGCCTGGCTTCCAAGTAGACATTTTAAGTGGATGCAAGGTGTTCAGGCTTCATTTTCATCACTTCTTCGCTCATCAAATATAATATACCTGGTAGGGATATTTTGCGGTCCAACACAGTTTGAATTAAAGAAGTTCCACTACATATAACGCAAAAAGATGGAAAAAAAAATTTGCATTCCCCTCCAATGTGCAAATTTTACAGTTCAAGGCTCCAAAGGGCAATTTCCCACACTAGAGCTTAATTAAATCACTAGGGGAAAGCTGTCATTGAAATAAAAATATTAAAGAAAAGAACAGGGGCTCACCTGAGATGCATATGTGGAAGCTGAATACCTTATTGCCCACAAAACTTTGGTACTTTAGTATTAAAAAAAAAAAGCTGCTGTATGCACACTTTCTTTGTGGCTGGAATAGACAAACAATACCACTTGTTAGAACTGAATTCTTTTCCCTCTGAAACTTTATGCTCAATCAAGCAGTGAAATTGGCACAGAGCTTCTCTACAACATGGCTGTGAATGGTAACAGCCCAATAGTCTGAAAAGCAACGTTTCAGGGCGACATGGCAAAACTACAAAGGGCATTGCAGCTAGAGCTCGGAGCTTTAGCTGAGAAGGCTAAGGATGACAGCAATGACAAGGCACCTGAGCTCCTGCTGTCGGAGGCGTTTTGCCCAGATGCCCGTGACTTCGCTGAATATTTGTCTCCTTGGGAATAGCATGACTTTGGGTGCCATAATTTATACGAGTTAAGCCACACTGAGGCAGACTTTGTGTAATCATGCCTGGCTTCCAAGTAGACATTTTAAGTGGATGCAAGGTGTTCAGGCTTCATTTTCGTCACTTCTTCGCTCATCAAATATAAATTACCTGATAGGGATATTTTGCGGTCCAACACAGTTTGAATTAAAGAAGTTCCACTACATATAACGCAAAAAGATGGAAAAAAAAATTTGCATTCCCCTCCAATGTGCAAATTTTACAGTTCAAGGCTCCAAAGGGAAATTTCCCACACTAGAGCTTAATTAAATCACTAGGGGAAAGCTGTCATTGAAATAAAAATATTAAAGAAAAGAACAGGGGCTCACCTGAGATGCATATGTGGAAGCTGAATACCTTATTGCCCACAAAACTTTGGTACTTTAGTATTAAAAAAAAGGCTGCTGTATGCACACTTTCTTTGTGGCTGGAATAGACAAACAATACCACTTGTTAGAACTGAATTCTTTTCCCTCTGAAACTTTATGCTCAATCAAGCAGTGAAATTGGCGCAGAGCTTCTCTACAACATGGCTGTGAATGGTAAAAGCCCAATAGTCTGAAAAGCAACGTTTCAGGGCGACATGGCAAAACTACAAAGGGCATCGCAGCTAAAGCTCGGGGCTTTAGCTGAGAAGGCTAAGGATGACAGCAATGACAAGGCACGTGAGCTCCTGCTGTCAGAGGCGTTTTGCCCAGATGCCCGTGGCTTCGCTGAAAATTTGTCTCATTGGGAGTGCCATAATTTATATGAGTTAAGCCACACTGGAGGCAGACTTTGTGTAATCATGCCTGGCTTCCAAGTAGATATTTTAAGTGGATGCAAGAAGGTGTTCAGGCTTCATTTTCATCACTTCTTCGCTCATCAGATATAATTTACCTAATAGGGATTTTTCGTGGTCCAACAGGGTTTGAATTAAAGAAGTTCCACTATATATGAAGCAAAAAGATACTTTTATAATAAAAAAAAAAGTAAAAGTTGGCATACCTTGCCGAAGGTTCTCACTTCACGTCCTTCATAAGGCGCAAAATCTTTGGATGCACCAGGCCCCGTCTGTAGCTGTCCCTTTTGCTACCCTTTGGAGGGTTGATGCCGCAGATCTGCCTGTAAAGTTATCAACCATGACATAAAATACATTTGCAGAAACAGGTTAAGGTTTAATAACAAGAACCGCCTACTGTAACTAGTGGTTATAAGTTCCGCCACATAATTTTTGTTTCCCTTCCATATGCAGCGATGTCTCATTAATATGGACACCTCTGTACCCTTGAAAAGTTACCCACATTGCGAGTTGTCTATAATAATGAGACAAAAATGCTTGTGTTCACCCATTTCACGTCCTAAAACATTGTCTATATAGAGAGGTATCTATATTAACAGAGTTTATATGAACGAGAAGTCACCGTACTCCAGAACAAGGGTTCTCAAACATTTATATCTCCAGAAACCCCACCTTGGATAGAAGCTGATGAATCTTTCATAGTAATAAACAATAAAGCAAACACGAAGGAGTGTTTCACCTGGTTTTGTGTCAGTGGAGGGCCCAGATCTGCTAAGATACTGCTTAAACTAGAAAAACACTTTGCCTAGGGGTAGCAACGATCAAGGATATCTGGGAGCTTTGGAAACCCACAATAGGTGTGCTGGGAAACACTTGGTTTCCCAGGAACCCAATTTGAGAACTCAAGCTCCGAAAAATAGCTGCACCAAGTTTAGAATCCTACCTTAAAGACTGGTCACATTATAAAAATGCAGAAATGCTTAGTGCTTCTGGAATTAAAAACGAAAGTCCAGTTCACTTGCCTCTGGATGAACTCCAGTGTTGCCTCTACATCTCTCGGGTAGACCATGTTGAGGACGTAATAAGCACAAAAAAGAAGGCATGCCGCCTCGTGGAACTCAACTGGTTCATCGAACAAAATTTGCTGCTCAACTACCACCAAGCAGCTTCGACTGAAAATGCTTCCTGCACAAACAATTCAGGTGTGCATTTAATTTATTTCATTCCTTGGCACATACATCATTAGCAAAAGCACTTTTCCTTTAATCTCATACTATTCTTGAAAGCAGAATCTCGTCCCTGGATCATGGTACTAAACAACTTTTCGTGGATTGTACACAGCAAGTCATTGCTAGTATGAGCTTGTCATCACTTTGAGCATAATGCGTCTGCCATTTGCAATGTGTGATCTACGGAAAGTCTCTATTGCGCCAAGCTTCGAGCCATTTCATTGTCAAAGTGGCACGCATTATTTATAAAACTTCCTTTATTTGCCTTGTTTCAGAGAACACAATCTGTTCTTGCTTAATCAGGATTGTTTATTCATATTAGTAGAATTGTCAAATAATAAGATTCACACAATGGATTGAATCGCAATTTTCGTCCGTGGACCAGTTATCACATGACCCATCATGTCATTGATTTCTGTGATCTGCACCTTGTCCGCAGACTCACTGACTGGAATAGGCGAGCACCTTATCTGTGCGGATTTTCGGCAAGTGATTGACTTGAAAGGCATCTACAGCAATTTAGAAACAGTACAATAATCTTTCTGTTTTCGTATGATGGTGCACCATTGTGTTCTGCCCATTCACCACTTCAGTGGTTCTCAAATAGGGGTCCGCGGACCCCAGGGGGTCCGCGAAGCCACTTCTGGTGTCTGCGAGACCCTCAACAAAAAAGCATTTTTTTTTAGTTGGCACGTTTTGATGAACTGACCAAAATGAAGTGATGTGGCACCTTTGTTTTATGTTTTTCTGCTACGTAGCAATAAAAGGCACCCGTTTCATGCTCCAGATGTGTTAACGTACTTACTAATGTCCCCTCGCTTCCCCCTCCCCCTCCCTGGAAGGGGTCCCCCGTCACTGCCAGCGGTCCGCAAGGGGTCCCCGACACATCCATGGCTGAGAACCACTGCACCACTTCATTTTGTTGCCCCAGTCTTGGTTCCACACGTGAAAGAAGCTGCAGGACATTTGCCCAGCCGACACGCCGCAGATTCTGGTACCCCTTTGGGTCAGTGTCAAGAAGTTTGTCAGAACTTGTTTAGCACACCGCAGTCTTTCCCGCACGTCCATCCAGTTTTTCATCCAGCAGCAAGTTTCTTACGGCTGTGGTGTTAAGTATTGTGCTCAGTCGTGCGGTCATCGCTTCTACACCAAAACCTCTTTGAGCAGGGTCATACTTGTGTCATGCATTGGGTTAGTGAAGCTAGTGGTGCTTTGCGCTAAGCCTGTGAAGACACTCCGTCTCGCTCGGTGCGTAACGGCAGCAACAATTCTGTTTCATGATAGTGTCGTGACCATAGCAACAACTGTTGCTGTCGCTTCCACTCTTGGAAAACGGTGCCACAGTGGGATGCTAGTGTTTCACGAAACTACGGGGTCCTGAATAGATTAAGTCTGTCCTCGCTGTCGCTCCTTTGTCGTCTCCTCCGTGCGGATGCGCTTGGGAGACCGACGATCTGCAGATGTCTTGTCATGTGATCAATCCATCCATGGATTAGTCCATCGTGTGAATCTGTCATAAGTGGACTGCGGAGTCTCCACTCACTCAACATTTCTCTTGATGTGCCTGGCACATCATGAAATTGTTTCTCGCATCCAATCAGACTTTCTCAAAGAAACAAGGAAGCTGTATAATGATTTTGAGAGTTATTCATCCCAGGGTGCAGTAGCACGTTCCACACCACTGAATATTATGTACACAGTAGTATACAATTCCAAGCTACAAGACCGAGTTATAGGAAGTAAAAAAAAAGAGAAAGATGGGACGGCGTATCTTTTCATGCTCTCATTTTGTTCCAATTTTATCGTCAGTCCAATATTAAAAGGCTTTCATAGTAAAACTGAAAGTTGTATACCACCTACCTTCCTCTCTCTCTCAACCTCCTGACTACCAACTCAACCAGAAAATTACCCCCGCTTCGCCCTAATAACCCACAACAAAAACTATTGGCTACCAGATTGCCTTAAGACATGCCGTAATTGTACTGTGCAAATGAAAAGCTTTTGGACTAAGGGACAAAAAAGAGCTAAAAAACTGACAAGCATGGCCATAGCCTAATTTTCACTTCTGCACCGTACAAGAACGGTTAATTTCTATTAGAAAGGTAGAAAGGCCCAAGGCTATCAGGTTGCTCACCGACAGCAACCACCATGGGGGTGCATGGAAGGGAGGGCAGCTGGTCTGTAATGCTATTTCCTTCCTGGAAGTTGCAATTAAGACTTGTGAAGAAGTATTCCAACAAGTGCAAAAAAACATTCTTTCTCACACCGTTAAGTAATGTAGGATAATCATAGCTTGCAAATTCACCCGACTGCTTTTTCTGTGCCATAGTGCCCTTTCTTCATTCATTTCAGATTAGGATATATTGTTGCACCTAGAATTCATTGAAACAACTGTATACTTGCAACACATACCTCAAGTACCTGCACCAGGATTTCAGTCTTTTCTTTGAAATAGCATGCCAATTGTGGCAGTAGCACTTTTTCTTTTGCCATGACCTCGCCACGCTTCTCTGCCTCTTCTGCTTGGACAGACCAAAACAAAAGCTCCCTGTATGGGCTCTTTACAAAGTGCCTGCCTAACAGCGCAGTGCATAGCTTCAGTCCTTCAGCAAAAGTTTCCTGGAAAGGAATAGCGCATAAATCTAGGAAGAACATTGTTAACATTGTTTATAGTTCATTTTCCTTTACCTGATCTAACCCAGTTACCGTAAAATCCTTAAAGGGATGCTGAACCCAAATGTTGATTCCACAAAACACGCGGTAAAAGCGTGCAACGGGATGCCACAAACACCAGGACATCACTCGTACAGCGATATCTCAAACGGATGACCAAATTTTTCAAGAAAAGGAGGCGCATTTGACAGAGATGATGTCGTCATGTTTCTCCGAGGAGAGGGAACGGCCTCGCGTCTTCTCCGCCTCGCAGCCTTGAGGGAGCGAAGCGAAGAGAGGAGGAAACTCGATATAATGATGTCACGCGCCTCGTCGGCCTGGTTCAATCTCGACCTCTTTTTCCAAAAATACGGCCATCCATTTGAGATATCGCCTTATGAGTAGTGGTGTAGGGATTGTAGCGTCCTGCCTACACTTCCTGCATTGTTTTTTCTGAAATACAAATTTCGGTTCACCATCCCTTTAAAAAGGAGGCGCCCACCGCCAAGGGATCACACATCCCGATTGTTTGGCAAAATATTCGTAACATAAAAACTCCAAAACCTCACCCATGCCCGAATTCCTGTCGATGGGAATCACATGAACCACGCGATTTGTGGTATCGGTATGTGTGACAAGCGAGTTTGTAACGGGTTCCACGTCCTTCTCTGCGATCTGCATGTGCAATATCTGTTCCCGTAACATCGAGTGCTTAGTGAGGTTCCGCAATTATCTGCGATCTGCGTGCGTGATATTGGTTTCAGCGGCATGCAAGTTTTCATCGTGGCAAGAACACAGGACTTCGTAGCGGATTCCCACATGTTTACCATTTTGTGAAACGCGAATTTGCAGTGTCCATAATATGCAGTATTGGTTCCCATGTCAAGTGATTTGAAGCAGTGTTCATCAGTAATATTTTAGGACATTTTGCATCTTATTCCCAAAGACAGGCGACCTTATGTTTTTCACTATTTATCCCTTCATTTTGGTTGGGTGCCCTTACGGGATTTTACGGTAGTGGTAAATATGGTGTGCAAATTAGTTAGCATAAACATGACATTAATGATTTCCTACTTTCCTAAAACAGGTTATAGAGAGACGACAAACTGTACCCAATACCAAGTTGTCACCCCTAAATGAGCACATCCCATTCACTTTTACAAAAGTAAAAGTGAATGTGGAGTGCTGTTTTTCAATGGAGAGTGCTGTTCACTTTGAACTTTTTATAAATTAATTGTAAGCTGGCTGCTGTCAGTAAACTATCTGGTGTTGGGCATTTATGCGCTATTTGCTATTGAATAGCTGTTTTTGAAGATCATGAGTAAAAATAATAGAAGGCAAGTTGCTCACAAGCATGTCCTTTCCCAGCAGGGTCTTCAGATGTGCATAAAACATCGGTTTATGAAAAAGGAGAGGCCACTCCTCCTTCACGTCCCTCGCAGAGTGTATGGGATTCACACTGTTGATATATGCTCTTTGATCGCCATACATAGCTGTTGAAAGTTTCATTGCCCGGGACAAATCGAGGTCCTTCGTTGCCTTGTGCGCTTCTCTCTTCATCCACTCCTTGCTTTCATTTGAGTCATGAATGTCTCCCTCGCCCGACAACTGGAGTTGCCAATTCAAGCAGCCATACGAGGATTTAGAACTTTTTCTCTTTGGGCGAGATTCTTCTGCTTCAGGAGCTGACAACCGCTTTTCGCGGCTTAGGTTTTCGATCCGGTTTTCTAGTTGATAGAGAAGCGAATCATACCCTGTGCCCAGCTTCTGTCCGTCAATCCCTCGATCCTCTAGTGATGCCGGAAACATCTTTACAAGTCCTTCGGCCACACACCTGGCGCAGTCTCTCGAGGGCCGCGATGACTTTCGCATTAAGCCGTTTACGACAACCCTGACAAGCTCTAGCCGGTCCCTGGTCATTAGTGTTTTCCCCGCTGCTAATGCATCCTGTGCGCTGCGTGGGAATTCCTGTTGTAAAATAAAACTGGTTGTCTCCAGTTCGGGCTGTCGTTCAACTGAGAGCCCTTTTTGCTGCATGGCAGATGTACCTGCATGAAAGGGGCACTGACACATCAAAATCATATTTTTGCTCATTATCCGAAAAGATTCAAAATGATGCCGGGACATTACCCTCAAAATTCGAAACTTGGGAATTCAGTATTTGTGAAGTAAGAAAAAACAATTTCCGAATGCCAAATTTGAAGTTCCCGCACGATCCGTGCCAGTGCAGTGAGTAAAATTTTGCGGTCTCCTGCGACTCGACTTTCAATCGGGCCTCCGCTCCACGCTATCAAAGCGCCGTTGCCACGGCGACCCGAAGCGAGGAGCAGGTGAGCCGGCGGGATAGAAGGGCGCTGGCACGAGAAAAGACCGGTTTCTTCCCGACTCGCCGATAAGCCTCTGCTCGAGCATTGCCAAGTTTTCCGAGGGAGGATACAAATCCAGGAAGCGACATCACACCGAAATCTGATTTTTGGTATTTCAAAAAGAGGGGCCATAGAGTGTTCGCAGTTGCGCTAAAAAACATGTTTTACGATTGCCGTTATTAAATGTTATAGAAATGTCGCCTACAAAGCTTCTAAATTTCCTGATTTTTGACATCACCGATCAAAAGAAACCAGGAGGTGAGCGCGGGAAATATAAACGCCAAAAATGAAAAGGCGCGCACGCGAGCGGGGAAACTTTTTTTTGCGATGCGGTTTTTTTTGCGTGTCTGACTATAACTTGCATCGTTTTAGACAATAAAAAATAATACAACCTTTGGGGTGTCAGTGCCCCTTGAAGCCATACCATACCAATCACAATCCAACAGTTTTGTTCCCTTTATCTCAACAGGTGGAGGAAAGAAAAAAGTCTGGCACTTGCACAAGTGCAGACAGTCGTCATACGTGAAACCATTAATTTATTTTCCTTTCTCATTCAGTTTGAAATTATGTTACTGTAAGGCCTAGTTTTCTTCCTAACACTGCATTTCTAAGTAGCACGTTTAGAGCTATAACTATATTTATATTTTTATTGAGGTGCTGACTTACTCTCTTCTAGTTCATAGCATAATTTTAAAAGTGTGAAATTGATTGAAAGGAAACTGGTTTACTTACACATGCATATCATAATTGAACACACATTTAAGTTTTCCTGATGTAAATTGCAACATATCTATTCAGTTACTCTTTCATTGACTAGACATTACAGATTAAATACTTAACCAGCTGACTTGCACTTGACCTACCATGTGCAACTACTGCTTTTCTGATGTTAGACCTAACAAGTACCAAGCCCAATGTTTTTTGTGGTTATGCCCAGTTTTTGGGTGGGTGCTTGCTTATTATTTTAAGGCATGCTTGGATCAGCAAAATTCAATCTGGAACATCATGCACAAAAAAGATACCTGCTTGTGTTTCCTCAACCGCTTTGCATGGAGGTTTTTCTGCCACAATGAACACTCTTTGTTGAAATGGCAGTTCCAAAAGCAGTTCACCAAATTCATCATCATCAAGTTCAGTCCAATCTTGCAGAAACACCTGTCAAAACAAATAATCTTATGGAAGTAACTGGATGATAAAAATAGCATTGTCTTACCTTAAACTTCTCTGAAGTGCATACGTCTTTTTCTTTAGCAAGTGTTAGAACGTCGCTCATCGTTCTCACATTTCCTACTTTTCGCACCGAGAGGTCTGCGCTCCATATTTTAACCAGCGGCATCACACCTGGGAAAAGAGAACCGTTATATTTTTGTTCAATTATTATTTTCACAGTGCCACTATCTTTGGAAACTTGGCCACATCTCCTGCAGTGTGGTCCAAAAGATGTTTGTTTACGCTTTTTCAAGGGCCTTCATTTGATTTAGCACCATATGATTGACCATAATGTATACCTAGTTTAACAACCTGCCACCAAAATTAATGGGGAATGAGAATGAGATTGGATATCTTTCAGAGTTTGTTTTGGACACAGACTTTGATGCTATGCACACTACTGTAACTTAGATGATCTATTATAACTCTTACTACTGAGATTTTATTGGGAATTTCAAGATTCAAGACACAATTGTGATTAAAAAGGATCTTCAGTCCTTTACCTTGGCATGCTATTGGCGTAAAGATCTAACTACCATAGAATACTGTGCATCCGCCCATTCCAGTCTAAGTGCCAATTCCCAATTTTGTAAGATATGAGAAAATATGCCAGTACATTGATACGTAAAATTGGTGACCGGACAAGTGTTCATCCCCCATTTTTTCGTATTTATCTCTAAAGTTTGAGTGGGCGCTAGCCTGATATTTTACGGTTAAGAAGCGCTTTGTCCATCGAACACAAAAACGCTTGAATAAGATTACCTTCCTCAAATTTTTATTGTCCAACGCTGTATCAGATACCAACAAATAATTCTAGCCCTTGTTGCCCCAATGAGTTGAGTTCTCAACTTGGCCACTACCGGCTCGACAGTTAGATCCCCCCCCCCCCCCAATAGTCATGAACAGAATAAGAATATCAAGATCCATCAATTGTGCCACCTCCAGTGCGAGCTTCCTACCTTAAATGACAGCTGGGCGGGCTTGCTAGAAACAGCGTCTTGGCTGAGACTGTGTGAAAGAAAACACTGGAAAAGCCAGCAGACAAGCTGAGCAGGACTCAAACTGTGTCTCAAGACGCTCGTGTGCCCCAGCCTTTGCAGTGCTTTTATCCACCCAGTCTTAGCTGAGATGCTGTTCTAGCAAGCAGGCCCTGGAAATCTGGTAAGCTTTGAGCGCGCATGTATAGCCAATGCATGAGGAAAGCCAAAGAGCGCATGCATACAAAAAAAGGGGCCCCGAGCTTCTTTTCCTGTCGGTGACTGGAGATGCACATTAGGAGTGTGGCAAGCACATCCTGAGAATTTAGCTTTTTCATCTGGAAGGCACCTTGTCTGTGATGTGGTATCCCTGTATAGGGTCCTCAGCACTTTCGTTTGTTAAGGGCATGAAATAAATATATTGCATGGATCAAGGCATTGAAAAGCTCTTCAGATAGAATCCAACCCAGATGTTGAAGGGGAAGGGATAAGGAAAGGGAATGAATTGGCAGAAAACTACCTACTACTGCAGCCTGACAAATCATTAAAGATTCAAGGCAATGTGTCAGTTTGGGTTTTGGGGGCACAATAAAGTACCCGACTGAATCAATGCCCACTTCTGTAAACAGAACTTATAAAAAATGGTGTGGTTCCTTTTTGTTTTTATTAGACCAAGCAATCACAAAGGAGCACTCAGAATTTCTCTGGAAACGCAAAATTAAGTCTTATAACTTTACTGTGACCAAGCGAATATGGCCGGTAAGATGTTGAATCAAGAAGCTTTTCTTGATTGAGAAGAACTAAGTCTCCAGTTGGATCCTGAAGACTGTACAAGCACATAGCTGGCAAGAGAGTAGCTGGTACACATTGAAGCAGAAATGCTACCTCTCCCGAGGCATTGGACCTAATGCTAGTCACAACTCCAAACATTATTTCAAAGCGATTGCCTGAAATGAGCACGTAGTCACCAATTACATAAGTTGTCCCCTTAACAACAGCCTTTTCATAAAACGTCAAATTTCTTGCTGATTCTACATCTGCAAAGGCATGAGAAAGCTGAGACACTTCATCTGGCTGTTTGTGAGCTTTCGCGCCATGAAGCTCGACATCTGGCGGAAAGAGACCGCGGGAAGTCAAAAATGCCTGAAAGAATTGGTGCCTTTCGCTTAGCGTTTTGGTCACATTTTTAAAATTTTTTGTTGAACGAATGCAATTTTTGAAGTACTGGTGTTTGCTTTCGAATCTGAGTGTCCATACGTGAGACAATGGGCCAAACTCTTGGATGAGGTCACCATAGTGCAACATATAATGATGCTTCGGCCTCAGTTTGACATCAGGAAAAAATGCTTTACGGTTGTGGATGTACGTCTGAACTAAGACCTTGAGGTAAGCAACCTGTGCGTATGTTATTTTAGGTGCCATTAGCAAGTCAACTAGTTCCATTAACTCAAGACTTAACTGCCACACAGAGTCACTTGGATCAATCACTTTATCCCCTACATACAGCGGCAGCAGCCGCAGGAATGTCCAGTTTTGCATGGCGTGGCCTGCAAGCTTATCACTCTTGCTGCTCACCTTACATGGCCTGTTTCTCAGGTCCCGTGCACTGTACTTCAGAGCCATAATCTTTATGTTTAAGTAGTCATAAGAAAACCACCCTTTGCGCACAAAGTACCTAATGAACAAGGGCAGATCATACTGAACTACACCTTCAAACATATCATGGCCAATACATGGTGGTAGGCCAGCTTGATATACGTGAAAGCTGCTTAGCACGTTAAAAGGTGACTCGCACACAACACCATACATGCCACATCCTTCGTCGTCATGTGTAAAGCAAGTTTCATAGTTTTCCACAGACCTCCTTTCACCTGTCAGGGTGGGGTCTTCATGAAATTGTGTACGAGTAACCAGGCAAAATCTGCAAAAATATGCAGACGTGCTAAAATTTTGCGTGAACCCACCAACTGCATGGCTCCCTAAATTATCCCCAACAATGAAGCACAGCTGCACTCTGTAAAGCTTCCCTTTGACCTCCAGACCCACACGTTCTAGGTAGCACAGATCATCAATCAACGGTTGAAGAATTTTCTTCAACCCAAACTCTTTTACATTTTTTTGAAGAGCAAGCAACACAAGCTGCATACTCTCAGTACGAGCCCTACAGTGTTGTGGCAAATTACCGAGCGTCAAATACACGCCCAATAAGTCAAATACACGCCCAAGTTTCCCTTTGCAGACCCCAAGGGATTTGACAATTCAAATTCATCTTGATATAAGATGACTTGTATAACATCGTCAGAGGACTGAAATTGTTTGCATATTGTGAAGTCAGTGAAACATTCATTGATTTCATTTGACCTATGAGGTTCCTGGGGCAAGTTGGACATCAACAGAACTATCAACTCATGCATAGGCACATAGTGGAAAAAAGAAGGGAAGTTCTGCTTGTTGGTACCAAGGTTAATCTGAACTGGCTTTACGAGGTGAAAATGTTTCTTAAAGTACTTGTGTCTCAGGTACGATGATTTCAGACTACCTGATGTTACAATGTCAAGCTCATTGTTCTTAAAATGACGAAGCACCAATTCTAGCGTATCACTAGGAAGGATTTTGGCAAGCTCTTTTTCCACGAGTTTCTGACTAAGCTTTTGGAGGTTGTCAACTTCGCTCACAATATACTGTACAGTATCTGCAGGGATATGATGTTGGGCTTCTAATCGGAGGAAAAACAATGCTGCATTGTCTCTAAAAAGTTCATGATCTGAGACGTCACTTTGATCACAGGGCTCTTCAGGGCTGCTTTCTTCGGCAATGTCCAGTACACCACTTGGGTCATGGGACTCTTCAGGGCTTTCCTCAGAAATGTCCAGCGGGGCACTTGGGTCATAGGGCCCTTCAGGATTTTCTTCAGCGATGTCCAGCGAGGCATGATCTTCGGAGATGCGGGCTGTTGGATCGTCCTGTGCAGTATGGCAGAGCTCCAAAGTGTCCTTCTGTGGGTGATGATAACGTGAAACATGCATTCTAAAGGCATTTCGCGTGCTGATCTTGCTGATGCACCCCGTGAAGGGGCACACAATGGGCTCTTTTCCCAACTTCAGGTGGCCAGATATTTGAGAGATCATCTTTGATCGTGTTGCTACTTGCTGGGTACATTTTGCTACTGGGCATATTAACAGCCTGGTTTCCGATGACACCTGACTTTGTGTGCCCTGTTTAAATGGCTGATGAAAGTTGCATAGCTTCTGAATGTCGCACCACAGCTTGATGCAGGGCACAAAGCGCCACATGTTAAGCTACTGTGAAATCTGCAGTGGTTAAAATAGTTCACCAACGTGGAAAAACAACGTCCACAGATTCGACAGCGGTTCATCGAAGATTGATCCAAGTACAACCTGAAAAAAATAGAGCATTTTCAACTTAATGTGGGCGCAGATGGACGAGTTAATGTAGAACGCAAAATTCTTCATTCTTCTACTACAGCTTGCAAGTGAAATAGTGCACAATTCTGGAGGTGATGCTTGGAATGAGCCTCTACATTATGCCTTCGATGCCCCAACCGGAGCGTTGTGCCATCCTCTCAATGCTGAGTCAAAGCTTCGAGGCCGAGTGCTCTGCCTCCGATTCAGAGGTCAACTTGGGCTGTCTCCTTGATCTACCGACAACAGCTTCAGTGACGTCATTAGTTCCATTCTTCAGTTTCTTCTTTTAGCTTCATTCTTCAAAAGCAAGGATGGGTAGTTCTCATTACTTCTTCAAATATAGGGGCCCCTACGGCGTAGTATATAACATTCTTCATTCTTCTACGTTGCCCAGATAGAGAAAATTAAACCTTATTTTTCGGCCTGCATTAAAAGCTACATGCCGAAAAGAACTAACTCTGTGCGAATGTGACGCTAGTGGCGGTGATAAAATGCGAAAACTTGGGCACACGATGTTACCTGGATGAAAACACCAAAACATAACAAAGATTCTCTATGAGCTGTATGTCTTCCGAGGCTTAACATTCATCAAAGCGATAAAAATTGCGGGCGCCTGTGGCATTTATTTCACTAGAAATATGTGTTAGCCCAAAATATAACCTTGTTATCTTTCCTGCCACTTTACTTTGTTTTTTTATTGAAATATATGCTCTAGGCACCCACAATGCCTTTTCTTGGTTTGATGATCTTGTTCCTTTCTCTTCATGAATCCTTTGTTTCTACTCGCACGGTTTCCACCATGAACACTTACCAACTCGCCCAACTTTCCCAAGTGGACGCCTGCTAATAAAGAGATTTTGTTCTTCGAATTTAGCTTTGGATTCAGGGATCTACTCTTAGAATTTTGCATTCTATCACCACCCATTCACACAGTTTCACTTCTCAGCGATACATAGTCTATGTGAGCAAAAAAAAACTGCATTTTCTCTATCAAAACCTTCGGGTCAGATACCGTGCTGCTGATCCATGTTATGAACTGAAGCATGCTTATACAGTCGATCATGCTTTCATTTCTTGAAGCTTGTCTTGAATCATTTGAAGTGTTGGTTTTGATGCTGTTTGGTGATGTTCAGGAAAACCGTAGTCTCATAAGTGACCAAGAAGTGATACAGTAGCAAAATGTCACACGTCTTGAGCTTTCATCTCGTCAGGGATAGAGCACAGAAAGGCATACAGCAAAGTGCCGGGGGAGCGCCCATCCCACTTTCACTGAAAACTGAGGTCCGGACAAATTGGGCAATTAACGTATAATTTTCAGAATTCCCAAATTTTGGAAATGTTAATAGTAGTCACTTGAACGAAGTGGGCGCCTCTGCGGTATTTTACAGTATGCAAAAAACATGGAGATATATGTAATAAATGTCAAATACTGTAAACGACTTATTTTTCCCTGGCTCAATATTTCGCGATTTCGGTCAAGGCTGAAGTTTTGGAATAATCTGCGGGTTCTAATTTTAGCGATGCAGTGGGATCTCAATATAGATTCCTATGTGTTTAGATTTTGCTGGCATCGTTCGTGGGACCTATTTTTCGCGAATTGTAGGCGATTCGCAAAAATTAGGTTCTTGCAAAAATTAAGGTGTTTACAGTTTAGGTGGTGTTTACTGGATGCCATATTTGAGGTAAATGCTCACAACACATGCTCAGAGGGCGTTTCCCGTCAGCTCTCGGGCAGTGACAAGAGAAGAAGGGAAGGAGAAACTCTCTTCTCACCGGGACTTTGCTTTGTATGTCCCAGACTTCCCCAGATGTCGCTATTCTCACTCTAGAAGATTATAGAAGATTAACTTTCACTCAAAATTTGTACAAAAGCATCTTTCCCCTCTTTCCATTCCCTGGTGGTAAGAAAGCAGCAGCGAGCTCAGCTATGACCGCCAGTGAATACAACCTATACCATTATAGAGCAGATATATCCATGCTTTTCAAATATTTGACTATGGACAAGCATGTTTAATTTCAGATGCATATTATTTCATGAAAACAAATTTCTGAAATTTCGTGAGTCGCTCGGGAGCAGAATACTTCAGAACTAAACAAAACCATGCAATTGGAGCAGCAATGTGCTGCCCAGTTGCCTGTGGTTCTGTCTGTTGACCAAAACACGTATTTAAGTAAGCTTAGTGAGAAACACACTGGAAAATCGCAGTAATCAACACAAGTCATAAATTTATATTTCAACATTTTTGCGACTTTGTAGAAGCCACAAAAATGGGTATCATTTCGTTTTTATTTTTAATACTGAGTGTGGCCTTCGATGACCCACTGCTTAGCTTATATTTGATGGTTGTGTCAAAACCATAAAAAAATGGCATGTGACTACAGAGAAGAGAGTGAGCAAGACTCGAACCGGCCAGCTCTCGATCGGCGATTTTCAGGCGCAAAGAAAAATTTTGAGCCAGAAATTGTGCTCTGAGTAGTTAGGCTCTCATATGTCATGTACAAATAAAAACCTTGGCGAGCATCAATACCCTGTCAGAGTACCTTCAAGAATTGGCGTAGTACTAACTGCCCATCACTCAGATAAAAGCCAGCTTCCCGGGACAAATTTCTGGAAGTAAGAGCTGACTATTTCTCCCTTTTTCTCTGCTTCAAAAAGCTCTCTATCTTTTCAGTATGATGCACCCGCAGTGCCCAAGCATGTCAGCGGAAACCAGCTCACAAACTGGACATGAGCACAACATTATTCTGATGCTAGCATTCATCAACAATTTTTGAACAAACACTTATATTTGCTTTCTCGGCCAATGAGTACCATGACAGACATTTTTCAGAGCCATGCCTCGTCTATATATGATTACAACAAGTTCGATGGTATGTATAAAAAGCATAGTGGAAGCAACCAACAGTGTCAAATTTGACAGTCTGGGATTACTCTTATTTTCGTCGATGACAGCAAAATTAGAGTGACCAGTCTAGGACACTGAGCAGGAGGCCATGTTTGACAAATGTTTTGCTGCTCCTAAAAATAAACGAAGTGACGGAACTGACGATATGGCGTCCGATTGGTTACAGGGTCAAAGGTCAGAAGTTCTCTTTCGTTATTTGAGCCTCTAGCCAATCAAACGTGATATTGTCTCTTCCGTTTCTTTTTAGGAGAAACAAAACATTTGTCGAACATAGCACCCTAGGTCAGCAAGAAGGCTGTCACAGCAGCTCAACATTTATCGACGACTGCATCGGGCGCAAGGAACACGGAGGCTAACCTTGCTAAAACACCTAGATGTTTTTGTTAGTTTTGCAAGGGGCGTCAAAGCACCAGTGCACGAAGTGGTGCAAGCGCCAGTGCAGTACTTCAAAGCAAACGGCAGTGAAGCCCTGAAATAAAAGGCACTTGGAAGTGAACGGCAGCACAGCACTCGCTCATAGCACGTGTTTCTCGCGTTCGTGCGACCATCGTTGTTGGCACGGGAAACTGCAAGATGCGGCACGCCGTGCCGCGTCTTGCAGTTTCTTGAACAGACGTGACCTGACGAGAGCTCCCAAACCTCCTCTTTGCCCACGCGCTTCTCGTCGCCAGCTCGCCAGCGGGGATCCGACGTCAGCAAGCGCCAGTTCACCCATGCATTCTGATTGGCTTGCGGCGAGCGAAAGTTATTTTTTTTCGGCGTTCAAAATTGGTCTTAGAGCGATTTTGCTCTCTGCCGGAAATCCTGCCTGCTTTTGTCGCCCGGCATCAGAATTCTCCTGAATCTGGCCACCGGTTCGCAAGTCTGAACGAGGCTGAGACCCGCTTCAGACGGGGCAAATTTTCCAGCAATTTTGAGGTTGCTGGCGGGTTGTTTCCTAGCTTTCCCTAGATCAACACGAATTGCTGAGATCAAGTTTGGCTCGAAATGGACGAACAACTCTAACAACTCTAAGACGTTTGAAGCGGCAGCGGCCAATCAGGGACGCAATATTTTCATGCGACACCTCTGTGGTGGTGGTGATGACAGCTATAGGCTTTGTTCTGATTTGAAATAGATCGTTTCTGGAAATAAACCTTTCAGAAAGATGAGTTAGTATTCTCAATGCCATTCAAAGATATAAAAACACGTTTTTAGCGCGTAGCTGTGCATCTAAATAGTGCAAGAAAAATCAAATTGCATGATGAGGATGACAAGTCGTAGCAATTCGGTTGCCGCGTGTGAACAAGGGTGGCCCGTGTTGCTGGTGTTGCGACGTCAAGTTGCTGGGTGAAATTGCCCCGTCTGAAGCGGGAATGTTCCGAGTGGCTTGCGAGGACGAACATTGAGACTAAACACGACCTCCCGCAGTTGAAGCAAATGGCCCTCGGCCTGTGAGGTTCAAATACGAGTGCCAAGCCGCTAGCCGGTATACCTTTAGCAGGCATGAATTCTGTAAAACACCGCCTAGCTAGGTGCCACCAAGCCGCCACCCGATAGAACTCCTTGATACACTCACCAAATGCCTCGCTCGGCCCTCGCTGCCTCTGGTGGGACCTTTGCCTCTGCAGGACTTCCTTGCCGAAAGCTCGAGGTTCATTCAACGCACGGAGCACGTGTGCGACGAAGAGCCACCACACGTTCCTTTTTTGATACACGCTGCCTGCACACACAAGAACACGTCATACGCTCCGAAAAAAGGATGGAAAACGTAAGACGGATGGGCGAGCACTTACCGATTAACTTCACGGTTGGTTCGATGGGCACGGCACGCCGGTACACGGGTGACTCTTTTCAAAAACGTTCTTCGGCAGTGGGGTTTTCGAAAGCTCGAAAGTACGGCGTACGGCTAAAGTTCACTTTAGTTCGGCCAACTCTCGAAAGTACCTCAGTTTTTTTGTATGTTTTGTTACGATGGCGATGGCGATACCGGCGATACAACGTGGACGTGCATGTAGTCGACTTAAATTCAAACTGTCAAATACCAGATATTTAAAAAATATTATAAATATTTGTAATAAAAATTAAGCAGCATTACATGTAAACAATGTGTTGGAGCTGGTTGGAGGTTTTTGAGCACCTTTGTGTACCAAACTAAAGCTCGGCTTCTTTCAACTTTCAACATGGCGGCGAACATTGTCCCGCGTCCCATCTCCCATGCCTCTGTAGGGAATGCGTCTCATCAGCGGTCCCGTTTACCGTACTCGACCTATTTGACGTGTATTGGTTCTCCTGTATCCATCTACTGCAATCAAGATCAGCCACAATTATGCTGTACAGATATGGTGTGCCCGTCAGCGGGAATATCCAATCTCGTTACAAGCAAGGCCTAGGGTTGCTCAGACGTCGTTGACATCCACGAACCGCGTCTGCCAGCCTTACGTTGTTTGGTTGGCTTCTTTACCCGTACCGGCGGCGGATCCCCAGCCCTGGCCCCAGCCCTGCCTGACCTAGCTCGTGCAAAACAATCTACGTTCATGCGGCCTCTTTGGAATGCGTTCTTTACGATAGGTGACTATTGAAGCGTCGGTTGCCTCCATTCACTGAAGTAGTCTTCGATGTCAACGCTCTTACCTTCACAGTGTCCGGATGGTCATTCTACAGGCGACGCTGCGAGACGCAAGCCTTTTCCGTTGTTTCAACTCGCAGTGTGATTCTTAAAATGGCCACTTTATCACGTTTAAGATGCTGCACCTTCACTCTATCTCCGAGATGCATCCCAAGACAGTTCTAGTGGTGTGTAAAACGTGGATGCAGGATTCGGCTTATGGCCGTCACCTTGTCGAGTGATACTGCGGAGCACTGTTTCCAGAAAGGATCGTGATAACTGGAAGTGTGCTCGTCGTGATACCGTTTCGATTACCCTTTCGGCGACGCCGTGACCTGGAACCTCCCACAAGCATGTCAAAGTGCTGCGATGCTGTGCTTACTGCCTGGCTGCCGTGGAAGCTGAATCATACGACTTGTCCAGCGACGCGCTGGTGCTCTTTAACAACTGACTTAAATGTGTGCGTACTAGAAGTCTTTCTAAGTTGTACCACTTGCTGTGTGGTATATACCATGGAACTATTCCCAGAGTGGCCTAAGTGCTCGACAATTCAAGGAGGCAGTCTGCTCAGTCAAAGTGTCTTCAACATCTGTCTTAATTATGGTAATGCCTCCCTGCAACTGCTGTTACGGACGACCTGATACTAGTGGTGCTAATCAACTTGCGCTTTTCTTCGGCAGCCAAGCTCACCCCAGATCTCTTGCTGCTGTGACATTATACGTGATCGGCCCTCCTTTAATTCCCCACAAAATGGATCGGCGGCCGGGGCGTCGGGGCGGCCGGGGCGGCCGGGGCGCTAGACTCGACGCCGTCCTCAAGAGACTCCAGCAGTCTTGCGTCACCCTTAACGCCTCCAAGTGTAAGTTTGGTGTGTCGTCCGTCAAGTTCCTGGGGGTGATCGTCAGTGCCAAAGGCATCGCACCTGACCCAGACAAGGTTTCCGCCATCACGAATATGCGACCTCCGACGGATGTACATGGGATGCGACGCCTCCTGGGCCTTCTGAACCACGTTGGACGATTCTTGCCGAATGTGTCGGCCACGACTGCTCCGATCAGACTCCTCCTCAACAAGGATACAGTATGGACCTGGGGATCAGCCCAAGCTTCCGCCTTCGAGTCGCTGAAGAAGATGGTGGCCTCCAGCTCTTGCGTCGCCCGCTACAACCACGAGTACCCCACGACTGTATCTGCTGATGCCAGCTCGTACGGCCTCGGCGCCGTACTCCTACAGGAGCAACCGTCAGGGGAACGCCGAGCGGTCGCGTTTGCATCGCGTGCCTTGACAGCCGCTGAAGAACGGTACAGTCAGATAGAAAAAGAAGCGCTCGGAGTCTCGTGGGCAGTGCAGCGCTTTGAAGAGTTTTTGCGTGGCCTCAGCTTCACTGTGGAGACTGATCACCAGCCACTCGTCAGGTTGTTAGGCACTGCCGACCTCGACCTTATGCCTCCCCGCATCCAGCGTTTCCGCATTAGACTTCTGCGGTACCAGTTTTCAGTACGGTACGTTCCGGGGAAGTACCTGGCCACTGCTGACACGCTGTCACGGGATCCCGAAGGATCCTCTCTAACTGCCTCTTCCACCGACAGTGTCGAGCTCTTTGTGTCGCAAGTCGTGACAGCCCTTCCTTCGACTCTGGCGGTGCGCCTCGACGACTTCAGAAGGCATCAAGCGTCAGATGCCGAGTGCCCCGCGCTGAGGGTCTACTGCACTAGAGGTTGGCCAAGACGAGATAGACGCCCCTTGAATATGACCAGTTACTGGGACCACCGGGGCGACTTCTCCATTTGCGAAGACCTGCTGCTCATGGGTGGACGGCTCGTCGTGCCTTTGCTGCTGCGCAAGGACATTGTGGGCCTGCTCCACGACGGACACCAAGGTGTGAACCGGTGTCTGGCCCTAGCCAAAGACTCCGTGTGGTGGCCGGACCTCAAGAACCAGGTCAAGACTGCCGTTGAAAACTGTACTGCGTGTGCAAGCACCCGAGTTCAGCGTTGCGAACCCATGCTTGCCACGGAAACCCCTTAAGTGCCATGGGAGCGGGTTGCTGCTGACTTGTTCTGCTTAGATGGCCAGGACTTCCTTCTCGTTGTGGACTACCGTTCGAGGTACCCCGAGGTCATAACGCTCCGGTCGACGTCTGCGGATGCAGTCATCTGTGCCATCAAGAGCATTTTCGCGCGGCATGGCATTCCACAGACCTTCTTCAGTGACAACGGGCCGCAGTTTGCCTGCAAAGCGTTCCGGGACTTCGCGAAATCCTACGGATTCACACACCTCACGAGTAGTCCTCGCTACCCTCAATCGAATGGTGAGGCTGAGAGGATGGTCCGCACAATCAAAGAACTGTTACGGAAAGCGGAGGACCCCTTCCTGGCACTGCTAGCGTACCGGAACACTCCCGGTGTGTCGGGATACAGCCCGGCCCAGCTCCTGATGGGACGTTCTCTACGAACACGCCTACCCGTCACCGCCGCGAGCCTGGTTCCGGATTGGCCTCAAGTCAAGGACTTTAACGAGCGCGACGCTGCCCAGCGTCGTAGACAGCAAAAAGACTTCAATTCTCGCCACAGTACGCGGGATCTTCGCCCTCTCCAAGACGGGGAGGAAGTGGGGGTACAACACGCCCAGTCCACAGCGACGGTTCTGAGTCCTGCTCAGAGGCCACGGTCGTATGTCGTCCAGACGCCCAGCGGTGTTCTCGTGCGAAACCGCAGACACCTCGTCCCCTGCAGCAGCCCTCCATCTTCTGCAACTCCTCAAACAACTGACGAATCGGCAGCTCTGCAGCAGGCTTCCGAGGACAGCGACAGCGGCGGAGCACCTCTTGCATCTCTGCGAGCACCTCCAGCTTCTCCAGGGACTTCACGACCGCGCTACTCCCGTTATGGACGTCGTGTGATTATCCCTAAACGACTGAACTTGTAGGGCATGTTCTTTTTGTTCTGCTGTGCATAGAGCAGGACTATACTGAGCATATTTCTGTTGCTCTTGTGTATTTAGGCGTTGCTTCTCTTTACGGACTGGGGTGCGTAAAGTCTGCCAAAGGTTTCATCGTAAGGCTTTCTTTTAAGCTTCTAAGTTTCGTAAGCATAGGGCTCCCGAAGGGGGGATGTAGAGGACGCTACTGTAGCGACAGAACAACTATGAATCGTGGCGCCACCTTCGGGTTCTGCAATGGTGTATTTAAACAATGTGCGGAATAAACCGGGGGCTTTTTTCTCAACCGAACCACGTGGCTGGCGGGTCCACTCACTCTCGGCCGCCTCGGCCGCTCGCGCCTGATCCTTGCGCGCTCGAGCCTTCTTCAGGTGGTGCAGCATGTGTCAGCGTGGCCTCAATTGATTTACTGGACAAGGAGCGTGCATTCCTCAATGACGCGGCCTGGCACCGGGTTGGCTAGTGGTGGAGCAAAATCAGAAACTCGGATGGTATAAAAGTGTCGTTTCACGTAATAAAATCAGTTGTTAGTAGCGCACTGTGCTGTCTGTTTCTCGCCTCTTTGTCCCTGTTGTTTGAGCGCTAAAATGTATTCCAAATTCCAAAACCAACTAGCCCAACAATTTACTCGACCGAGGTAAGAATTGTATCCACTGGTAGCCCTACCGGTCCGTGTCCTTGTAAGGTGAACGTTCCCACAAAGGGGCGAAGATTGCGGAGCTGGTCAGGGGCGATCGCAGAGCTGCAAAAACACGTCCGAACGGGGCGCGTGACTTCGTCTTTTTTCTCAGAAATGTATAAGAACCCCCAGGCAGCACAAGGTGTTAGGCCAATGTTGGAAGAGCATTGGCAAAAAAAGCTCCAATGATAATCCACTTTAATCAATCTACTCCCAATATTGTCTATGCCATTATATAGAATCTTCAGTGATGGCCCAGCTTCTCCAATGACCCACCAATATTGGAAGCACATTGGCATGAAATGGGCAATCTTGGTCTGTCAGTTCTATTCGCTTGCGAATATTGGATGAACACTGGACAAACATGGGCAATGTTGGCCTGACAGTTACATTGGCTTGCGAAAATTGGATGAACACTGGTATAAAATGGGCAATCTTGGACTGTCAGTTCCATTGGCTTGCGAATATTTGATGGTTGAAATTGCTCGAGCGCTTGTCAATTTTCTTTTATTTTGTCAAAGCGCCATTCAGGTGCTTCCCTGCAAAGCAAACAAGACAATAACAAGGTACAGAACTAAATGACGAGGTTTTGCTCCTTCACTGTGCATATTAAGGAGTCGCCAGCGATATGGGCTCATCAAGACCGCCAACTGGATACAAAAGGAAAACGATGTCCGCGTTATAGAGTCAACATAATAGATTATTATGTTGACTCTATGATCTCGACAGAAAAGCTTCGTACCCTAACTACGGGCTTGTGGACTGCACCTCGTGTCACGTGAAGAACTTCTTTGCGATTGACTCGAACGAGACACTATTCTGAAATGTGGTTATACAATGACGGCTCTCTGACTTTACGGCAGTACTGGTGCCACAATAAGAGCCCTAATGCCTCCTACATTGCGCCAAGGCATTGATAGCAGACGACAATGTTGGTCTTGAATTAGAGTCTATCCGTATTGTCTAGCCGAATGTTGTTCTTGATTTAGACTCTAAACCTTTTTTCCGCATTTGGTTTATTGTTCTCATTTTAATTTCGACATTAGGCTCCGAGCTGATTTCGATGCTTCGTGTCTGTCA